GGAGAGAAAATGATTACTCACAAGAACATCAGAGAACATCAAACTCACAAATTACTAGGGAACGTTGTTAAATCAAGTTTGCGTTTTCACATAAGCCCTGACTCATCTGATAGAGTTTTCATCGGGGATTCTGAAATTGCTGTTAGTTTCTGTAACGTTTCTGTAACGTGAGATATTTGGTTTTATATTATTAGGGTGAACCAAAAGTTTTCTATTTTTTTTATTAAAACTTTCAACATAAATAAAACAACAATGAACGAACTCTAAGTTTTCAAATAAAGACCATTCGAATCTATGACTTGAAGCCATCTATCGGCAAGTTGGTCGATCCCGCCACTCCTTGTTCTTAGAGGCGAAAAACTCGCAGCACCCCTTTTCGACTTCGCCCAGATTGCTGGAGGCTCGTCCGCGAAGGAAGTGTGCCATGGAGCGGAAAAGATGATAATCGGATGGGGCAAGGTCCGGACTGTACGCTGGATGTTGATCTTTTCCTTGGTTTTTCTAGCGGTGTGAGGTTTTACATTGTCCTGCTGAAGGACTATGCGCTCGATTGACCAAAGCGGGATATTTTTCACTAAGCGGCGCATACATCCGGTCAAGTTAGGCGCAGTAGAGGTTTGCGTCGATGGTCCGACGATTTGGAACCAGTTCCAAGTGAATAATGCCTTCGAAATTCCACCAAACACCCAATAATGCCTTCCTTTAGTATCGATCCCGTTTTGCTACCGGTTCCGCTAATTGCCCGGGGATTCAACCACTGACTTTGCTCGTCCGGATTACTAAAATAGACCCACTTTTCATCGCAAAGTCACAATTCAGCGAATAAAGCGGTCATCGTGCGGATTTTCCAACAGTTTTCGGCAAGTGTCTACACGATTTTGAGCTTGATTTTCCGTTAAATCATGAGGCACTTCTCGGCAGCTTTTGTTGATCTTTCCAGGGGCGTGAAGGTGCGGGATAACTGGTGTTTGAGGAATCTCCAGTTCAGCGGAGAGCCTGTGAGTGCTGGTTGATGGATTGGCTTCAACAGCTTCAGAATCCACAGTAGTTGGCCGACCCAAACGTGGCTGATCTTCGAGACCAAGTTCGCCGTTCTTAAATTTTCGATACCAATATTGTTGGAGATCATTCCTTCAACCTCCACTTGGCATATTTTTTTGGCCGCCTCAGTTGCATTGAACCCTCGTTTCCAATAATGGCGCAAAAGTACCCGAATTTCGAATTTTTTCATCTCTTTCCTATAAAGTAAAAAATTAAAAATAAATAGTTAAACACACGATAACTTAATAAAATATGAAAGAGCAGATAAAATGCTACAAAATAAATATGGCACGTATACCGTATTCTCTCTAATAGAGGTGCACTCTTTAATAGTAGTGCACTCTCTAATAGTATTGCGGTCCGAGAGGGGGTTAAAAAAATAGTAGTGCACCCTCGAAAATTTGAATTTCTGGTGCTTCTTTTTCATCTAAACCTTTTTGACTTTATGTTTATGTGACATTCTAAAGCTATTCAAGCAAGCAAAAGTGAGGCTTTTTTTATTCATTTATTAACTATTCTTCACATGAAAAAGTTCGCAAAAAATCTAAAATTGTTGTGCAAAGTGCAAAAACATCTTTTTGTTATTTGTCAAGACACAAATTGTCAACTCGCCGGCCCACAACTGTATGTCAGGAGCCAAAGACAAAGGAGCCAAAGACAAAGGAGCCAAAGACAAAGGAGCCAAAGACAAAGGAGCCAGGAGACAAAAGGGAGCCAGAGACAAAGGAGCCAGAGACAAAGGAGCCAGAGACAAAGGAGCCAGAGACAAAGGAGCCAGAGACAAAGGAGCCAGAGACAAAGGAGCCAGAGACAAAGGAGCCAGAGACAAAGGAGCCAGAGACAAAGGAGCCAGAGACAAAGGAGCCAAAGACAAAGGAGCCAAAGACAAAGGAGCCAAAGACAAAGGAGCCAAAGACAAAGGAGCCAAAGACAAAGGAGCCAAAGACAAAGGAGCCAGAGACAAAGGAGCCAGAGACAAAGGAGCCAGAGACAAAGGAGCCAGAGACAAAGGAGCCAGAGACAAAGGAGCCAGAGACAAAGGAGCCAGAGACAAAGGAGCCAGAGACAAAGGAGCCAAAGACAAAGGAGCCAAAGACAAAGGAGCCAGAGACAAAGGAGCCAGAGACAAAGGAGCCAGAGACAAAGGAGCCAGAGACAAAGGAGCCAGAGACAAAGGAGCCAGAGACAAAGGAGCCAGAGACAAAGGAGCCAGAGACAAAGGGCCAGAGACAAGGAGCCAGAGACAAAGGAGCCAGAGACAAAGGAGCCAGAGACAAAGGAGCCAGAGACAAGGAGCCAGAGACAAAGGAGCCAGAGACAAAGGAGCCAGAGACAAAGGAGCCAGAGACAAAGGAGCCAGAGACAAAGGAGCCAGAGACAAAGGAGCCAGAGACAAAGGAGCCAGAGACAAAGGAGCCAGAGACAAAGGAGCCAGAGACAAAGGAGCCAGAGACAAAGGAGCCAGAGACAAAGGAGCCAGAGACAAAGGAGCCAGAGACAAAGGAGCCAGAGACAAAGGAGCCAGAGACAAAGGAGCCAGAGACAAAGGAGCCAGAGACAAAGGAGCCAGAGACAAAGGAGCCAGAGACAAAGGAGCCAGAGACAAAGGAGCCAGAGACAAAGGAGCCAGAGACAAAGGAGCCAGAGACAAAGGAGCCAGAGACAAAGGAGCCAGAGACAAACAGTTCCCTGGTAAATTCCTAGTAACAGTTCCCAGGAGGGGGTTCAAAAAATAGTAGTGCGCACTACTATTAGAGAGGATACGGTATATAAAACGAATTCATTAGCTTTAAAAAATTGTTCAAACTTAAAGAGCAAAAAAAATAGAAAACTTTTGGTTCACCCTAATATTTGGCTCAAAATTTGGCTTTTTTTGGCTGGATTACAAGCTTTGCTCATCACTTCTCAAATGTGCTCGAATAGCCTATGTCATTTCAATCGTTTCATTGAGTCAACATCAACTTTCAATCTTTGATGACATCACATTCGATTTCGTTTTTTTTTTTTGACATGAATCTTCATAAAAAAACTTATAAACTTTGTTACCTTTTCGATACATAATCCATGAGATCTTAAATAGTGTTTTATATTTGAAAATTTCTTAAACTCATCAATGTGCCTTGGAGAGCGATTGCTGTGTCATTGTATGGAGCCTGTACCAAAAGCTTCTTGTTCTAGCACGAATTGATGTGAATTTAGACCAAGACTCTCGGCCTTTTGCACTTTATTTTACAAAATTCGTTTAACAAGCCACGATTTATCAGTTATTTGTTATTGATAAACGCAAATCTAAACAAAACTTTCTTGATCTCTTTTCTGCTTCTCAAATGGAGAGTAATGTTGGCTTTTCAATTTCTAAAGTAATCTTTCCGATCACCTTGTTGCCATGTTGACCTTGTTTACAAAGTATTTTCGAGTTAGAGATGATTTTCTAAAAATTAACCAAAAATTTTCAAAAAAAGAAAAAGCTAGGTTCCACCGAGATTCGAACTCGGGTCGCAGGATTCAAAGTCCTGAGTGCTAACCGCTACACCATGGAACCACGTTTCGAGGCAGCTATTTAGAGTCTTTTGAAGGTTTGGAGGCTTTCGGAGGCTCTTTAGATGTTTTTTTTAAATTCCAGGAAGGATTCAAAATCCAATGAAAAAGAAAAATTAATGAATTTTAAAATTCGATTTTAAAATGCCACCAAGTTTGATTTGCTACTTGGCGGGGTAAAGATTCACTAGTAATCCATAGCTTTCTTGTGTATCTTTTTCCCGTTTATAACCCGTTTTATCACTAGTAACCCATTTAAATGCTAATTTCGTTATGCTTAATGCAAATAAATGGCGAGGAAAGATCCAAATGTACCGTAAGATCAGTACATGACTTTTGATTTGCCACCAGGTTTGTTTGCAACCAAAAAAATCGAATTGTTTGTTTGTTTGTTTGTTTGTTTCAGGATTTTTCCGGCTAAGATCTGGCTGTGAAATGATCGACTTGAACTGCAGTTGCATAGACCCGAAAGATATGTATCTTTATTTACAGTAGTACGATAAGACGAATAGATTACAAATGAGTGAAAGGGGAAGGGGGGACTCCATGTGAGCCTCCTAGGCAATCCCAGCTTGTCCTCCTAGGCAACCCCAAGGACCGCCCCCTGTGAAATGACCGATCTGTACTGCAGTTGCATAGACCCGGAAGATATGTAGGCCGCCTAGGTCCTTCTAGCTCCTCCTAGGTCCTTCTAGCTCCTTCTAGCTCCTCCTAGGTCCTTCTAGCTCCTCCTAGGTCCTTCTAGCTCCTTCTAGCTCCTCCTAGGTCCTTCTAGCTCCTCCTAGATCCTCCTAAGTCCTTCTAACTCCTCCTAGGTCCTTCTAGCTCCTCCTAGGTCCTTCTAGGTCCTCCTAGGTCCTTCTAGGTCCTCCTAGGTCCTCCTAGGTCCTTCTAGGTCCTCCTAGGTCCTCCTAGATCCTTCTAGCTCCTCCTAGGTCCTTCTAGGTCCTCCTAGCTCCTCCTAGGTCCTTCTAGGTCCTCCTAGGCAACCCCAAGGACACAGCGATGAACGGGATAAGCACAGCGGAGAACATAAGAATAGACAAATCATTCAAGAATAACATTAGTAACTAAAATATCAGTTTGACTTGGAGCTGACAAATACTAAAAAACTTTTGCGACTACGCGGCTGTACGAGAGTGGGATACAACAGTTTACAGGGATATTACAGTATTTACGGGATGCTATTTTCAATCAATCTATTAACAACCATATTTCTTATGCAATAAAAACTGTTTTTTTTTTCGTGAACATTGCGAAGAAAGAGTTCAATGGTAAACACACAGACAAAACTTTGGCACAACTTTGATTCTCGTGCTCTTTGCTGATAAGAAGAATTGGGGTGAACGGGTCCATTTTCATTGTTCTCCTTTTATCGAAAGTTTCTGAACCTTCTCGGAAAGAGCTCGATATTTCGCCCGATGACCGAAAGTTTAAAGGCTCGTGTGAAGAGGTAACTTTTGGTGCTAAAAGCTTACTTTTCCTTATCTACTTATCAGCTAGGTTGGAAAGAAAGTTCTTCAGCTTCATAGTGTTAGTGATTAAAGTTATTAAAGACTTCATTACAGAGAAGCCGTATTTCAAAAAATCATTTTTTAAGTGTCACCTTAAATGTCATTCTTGGCACTAAGTGTTTTTGCTAAAAAAGATGATTCTGAAAAGTTCAAGCATTAGATCAAATTTGCCATTTAATCACAAATTTTCCCTATTTTAAGTACTTGATTTTAGGCTTTAAATGGAACCCATTGCCTATTAATTAACCCATTAAAAACTTGTTTAAAGGCTGGTCACTCAAAAACCACCTTCAGCTGAAGTGATCAAGCCACTTCAGCTGAAGAAATCTGATTTATTTACCTGAAGCCCACTCTGTTTCTTTTTCTTAAAAACTTTTTGAAATATAGTAAATTTTATCAAAAAAGCTGGAAACAATTCATGGCTTGATTTTTGAGAAATCACCGTGCAAACTTTTTCCGAGAACTTTCTTTCCAACCTACTTGCTTTAAAGCGTAAGCCTTAAATTATCAGGACTTAGGCTTTTTTGGAACAAAAACTAGGGTATTTTCAAATCTTTGCCCCACCAACGAAAACAGGATAAATATAAATTTCCCCCAGCATGTCTCTAGCTTGGTAAAGATACGGGAAAATATAGTATAAACTTTATTAGATTTATGTTCATTGATTCTAGCTTAAATCTATTCAAAACTATCTTAAAACTAGGATAAAATATGCTAAAATTCAACGATGAAATAAGATGTTAAAGATCAATTTTCATGTTTGTTAGCTTTTGTTTATTTGTTGGCTGAGCAAAGATGCGAAAGTACCAAAAAAAAGTATCAAACTTCGATAAAACGAACTGCAAGGGATCGGTCGAAAAGTTCGTTATATCGAAGTGTACGTTATATCGAAATTTGTTATATAGAAACAAATAACCATTGATTTTTCTTGACCAATTCGCTATATAGAAGTTTCTACAACAAATTTGACACTTGACACAATTTGACACAACAAAAACAATAACTACAACAAGTTAGCAAGAAAAAGTTGGAAAAACAACTCCGTGACGCCTCTTGAATTTATTAAGCCAACCGCCACTCGCTTGAAAATTGGTAATTCCTTCTAAAAAGGGAATGGTCTCAGCTCAAAGGTCGGAATCGACTGGAAACACAGTGCATAACATAGAATCGGCAATGCCTAGGTGTGCATCGACGTAAACACTGAAATGTCAAGAAAACTAACGAAATTACTGAAATTGACGGGTGATTAAAAGTAACTTTAATATATTTTCTCGTTTTCCCGGTTGAAAACTTGTATCGCACAGCGTCCCATAGGCAAAAAACGTTAAATTTATTCTATTTTATTAAAATTTAGTTTGCTTTAAAAAAGAAATTGTTCTAAGAATCGCAAAAAAATTTCGCATGTGGGCGGAATTGAACCCGAGGGCAAAAATCGGTCCGCCGTTTCATAGAGCTAAGCCTTTATCCACTAGGCCACGACCCCACCTCTGGTCGGCAGCGAGAGAAGCCTTATAAAGGAAAAAACCTTAATTATAAAGGTTTTGAATCCCGATTTCTCATGCAAGATTCCTCGCGTTTCCGTGGCTATTAGCAGCTAATTTTTGCGACTTTTTGTTCGCCATTGCCGATTTTATGTTATGCACTGTGTTTCCAGTCGATTCCGAACTTTGAGCTGTAATCATTCCCTTTCAAGCTTGCCAACTTCATCGATTTCTCTCAAAGCAGATTGCGGCCAACACATTCGTTTTGGCTGCGCGTTTGCTTCAGTTAAATAAGCACAACCAACCATCAATCGCTTGAAAATCGCTAATCCCTTCAAAGCTTGCCATCGCTTTCTCACGAAACAGATTGCGGCCAACACATTCGTTTTGGCTTCGCGTTTGCCTCAGCCAAATAAGCACAACCAACCATCAATCGCTTGAAAATCGCTAATCCCTTCAAAGCTTGCCAACTCCATCGCTTTCTCACGAAACAGATTGCGGCCAACACATTCGTTTTGGCTTCGCGTTTGCCTCAGCCAAATAAGCACAACCAACCATCAATCGCTTGAAAATCGCTAATCCCTTCAAAGCTTGCCAACTCCATCGCTTTCTCACGAAACAGATTGCCGTCAACACATTCGTTTTGGCTTCGCGTTTGCTTCAGTCAAATAAGGACAGATTCTTCGATTGATTCCCATTTGCTCGTCTTCAATCATGCTCTTTTTGCAGCTCCTCCTTCATCGATCGCTTCTATAATGATCGACCTCTTCCTAAGAATCGCTTAAATTGTTGATCGCGACAATTCGAAGTCCTTCGCCAATTCAGCCGTTCCTTTCGAAGTTGATTAATCGAGTACTCGCTCCTTCAAAGCCAAATCGATTGACCCGACGCGTCGACTTTCCTTACCTAAAATATAAGAATGTTCTCAAAAATTAAAGAATAAGAAAGAAAACTTTACATCAAGCACACTTAAGATAAAAGAAAAACGTTACAAGAAGTAAGGGGGTGCTAGCAAAAGCGCCAAATCATTTGCGCCAAATTTTTTGCGCCAATTTTCATTTGCGCCACGTTTCATTTGTGCCAAAAATTTCTGCGCCGCGTATCATTCGCGTTAAATTTACGCTTTTCAAAACACTTTCCTACCAACTCTGATTGTTTATTCCTATTTTTTTTCTAATTTTTCTCATCGACAATGCTCGCTACTTTGACGCCTTCGCGGCATCTGAAAATGGCATAAATCCAAATAAAGAGCAAAAAGCCCAATCGGGGACACAAAAATGACTGTTTTTTTGGGGTATTTATAGGTATTTAAACGTGTTTTCTAATTTACAACAGTGAGAACTAAAATTGTGAAGCAGAAAACTGAAAAAGAGTTGGTTAGAAGCTGGGAAAAAGTTATTTGCTACAGTGATTTTTATAAGGGTAAATTTGACGCAAATGATACGCCAATGAAATTGGCGCAAAGGATTTTGGTGAAAAAAAAAGGCGCTACTTTGAGGTGCTTTTGCTAGCACCTCAAAGTAAGCATTTCATTGTCATTTTAAAGCATTTAAAATTCAGTAAAAAAAAATTAGATATTCAGTCAAAAAGCACAAATTCATTTTACTTAGCGCACATTTTAGCAAATAATTCGTTCATCGAAATGAAATATACGTTAACGGGGGTAGGCTACTTTCCGCCATTTTATTTGCGCAACAGGGTCATTTGCGCAACAGGGTCATTTGCGCAAGTACGTTTGCGCAACTTTTTATTTGCGCAACAGGGTCATTTGCGCACTTTCTGCGCAACAGGGTCATTTGCGCAACTTTTTTGACGTTTTTAAGGGACGTTTTTTTAAGGGAGTTTTTGGCGTTTTTTTTTTGTTGTTTAAAATTCTAGTACGGTTTTGTTTATTCTTAAAAACCATTGTTAACTAATTTTCCGCATTTTCCCAAGAATCCGCATCCATCGTATACTGCGGTCAGACTTTACGAAGAAATGACGCAAATAATCAACCGTTTCAAGCTTTCATCGGCTATCAATCTCACTGTTGGACAAAACTACACACGGAAGAAAACTGTATTGGCTCGACAAAAGCAACGTTTTACTGCTATTTCTAATGGTCGCTTGCCCGGTTGCGATTTTGTGCAACATCTTTCTCAGCTTTTGACTTATTAAAAAAATTTGATTTTTATTGTTGTCCTAAATTTCATTGCTATTGTTGTCCTAACTTTCATTGTTATCGGTTGCACTTTTTTGTTAAAGCGATAAAATACTTTACTAATGGTTATTAGCTCTTAGAAAGGACTAATTTAGATAAATATTGGAAGATTGTGCAAAAAATTGGAAGATTTCATAAAAAATAGAAGAAAATAAAAAAACAATAAAAAAAAGCTGAAAATTAAAATAATGATTAAAAATTCGAGTGCTTAATACAGTGTTAAAAGTTGCGCAAATGACCCAGTTGCGCAAATGACCCTTTTGTGCAAAAAAAGTTGCGCAAATGACCCTTGTTGCGCAAACGTACTTGCGCAAATGACCCTGTTGCGCAAATAAAATGGCGGAAAGTAGCCTACCCCCGTTAACGTATTCAAAAAGTGTTCGTTATATCGAAGCATTCATTTTATCGAAGTTCGTTAGATCAAAGGCTGTTTGATAACAGCGTTTGGCCGAGACCGAATCTAGGGTTCTTTGTATCGAAGTGTACGTTATATCGAAGTGTACGTTCTATCGAAGTTCGACTGTATTAGCTTCAGAGTGAGCACCGTTTACGATCATGGCACGGGCGTCACACGTCGCTTCATCACTTTGTGCGAAGCTCGCGGTGAATGTATTCTACTCGAAGATGACTGGTCACGTTTAGACTTTCAAGAAAATGAGGTACTGTGAACATCAAAACTTTAACACAATCACGACGATACGGCTCACCGTACTAATGTACTAATGACTGTCGTACTAATGACTGTCGTACTAATGACTGTCGTACTAATGACTGTCGTACTAATGACTGTCGTACTAATGACTGTCGAACGATGACTGTCGTACTAATGACTGTCGTACTAATGACTGTCGTACTAATGACTGTCGTACTAATGACTGTCGTACTAATGACTGTCGTACTAATGACTGTCGTACTAATGACTGTCGTACTAATGACTGTCGTACTAATGACTGTCGACTGACTGACTTGTTTATCTTTGAATTTTCACCATCAGTAAAACAGTAACGAGTACGCGACTGTACGCAAAATACTATCGTCGTGAATGTATCAAAATTGTAAGTAGATTAACATTTTGTATTATAAAGACTCAAACTGAGCGTCGAAATTAGACGAAAATTGAATTGGGCAAAAGGTTATGGTGTTAAAAGATGACGATAGTTTTATCAAAACCTTCTTTCAACTCTAGTTTCAACTTTTCTCTAAATCGTGCATTTAGGTGCTGAAAATCGAGAATCTTGACCGAAAACCCCTGGGGGAAATTTGCGGTTATGCTCGAGTCGATTACAAACTCCAGACGCGCAAAGATACAAAGATTGAGGTGCTGGCGTCTGTTCCATCCACAACCTACCAGCCGAGTTATCCGTGAGTGCTATTAGTCATTCAAGTTCATACAATCCAAGTACTTTAGCTCATAACTTTTATAGATTTATCGAATTTGAATCTAGTTTTGTTATCATTCACTTTCTCGAAAGCCTTTTTTTTCAGAACAATCATTGTCCGCTTTCTCGAAGTTGATCCAAGATTTAAACCGGCACCGAAATCAGGAACTGAAGAAAAGGCAACAAATTTGAATCGATCAAAATTCGAAAACCAATTCTAGCCTCATCTCGTCCAAGATGTGAATGGCGATGATTCGGTGTATACTTTAAGAGAGTTTCGCAATGTTAATGGAGATGGTCATGAATTGTCCTATGATAGGTCAAAGGTATACACTGTAGGTAAATCAACTAACTGATTCTTTAAGATCTACAAACTCTATAATGTGAAAATATATCAAGACGAACATCTCATCCATTTCTCTCATTACGGACTCAGCGAAGCAGGTGGTGATGGTGAATTTTTGATTCAACTGCAAGTAGTCCTAACTTGAATATTTTCAGATTCATTCCATTTTGCCAATTCTAAAGTCCCAAAGGCTCCTTTGATTCCTTTTCCGATAGATTACAAATTACTCTCCGAAGACGAGAATTTCCAGCGATAATCGATTCATGAATAAAAAGTCAATTTTATATGCAAATGTTATAGATATAAAGTAAAAAACAGTGTCCCAATAAAGATTGACAGAGAAATTCGTATCCTATCAAATCTGAACTCGAAAAAAATGTTTCATTTAATACAAAAGCTCTGAATGACTAAGATGTTCAATGTCAACTCCTCTTGCCAATTCCACGAAGGGCATGCTCGAAAACACGGAGGCATTGAACTTGTTGTGAGCGTCCATTGAACGTCGCTGGTGTTCCTAAAAAAAAGTGATTTAACCAAGGTTTTCTCATTAGAATCTCTTTTCACCCTTTGCAATGAGGCTTAAAAGATATAGTATATAAAGCCAAAGCCAAACTCACTTTCAACAAACAGAAAAACGCTGCCGGTTGATAGTCAATGTAGAGCTTGTGAGCAACAAGTTCAGGTCTAAAATAATAATTAAAAAGATTGAACCAAACTTGAGTAACCTCTTTAATAAATTTGGAACATCACCAACACCATATACGCATGAGCTATGGGTCATTTTTCCTAAAAAAAAGCGATTTGAGAGAAAAATGTCGAACAAATGTTTACCATGACAGAGTTCTTCGTCTTTATCGTTCCGCCAAATCTAAATATGAGAAAATAATTAGCGTCCGGAGAACAAACTTGAAAACGTCCAAGCCAATAACGGACCGGCACATCGCGACTTGTAGCTGCAATTATCCCTAAAATGCATGATTTTTAAAGTGCCATCTCTTTCAACCTTCTATTTTCTAAAGTTTTATACTCACCATTTGATTTTGTTATTTTCACGTTAATGTTCATTCTCGGATACTTCCTTTGCTTCAAATTTGTTTCGCTCTGCCTTTTCGATTTTTTCCGTAAAATCAAACGAGCGTCAAATCCACCTGGTATCGGAAGTCCTAAATTGATCCAAATCTTAAATTAAAGAAAATGATCTAACTGCGCATGTTGCCAAAGATCGTCGGCCAAAGTAGCTCGTCTGAGGCAATTGGCGATACATTCAGCCATCTGATCACCGCTGTGGTAATTGCCTAAAAAATTTTTGAATTCATTTATATTGAAATTCCTTTAGAATACTTACGCTGTGTTCCTTTGTTACAGCATTCATTCCAGCTCTCGGCACCAAGGCTGACATTGATGCTTTGTAAATCCGAAGTGGCGCCAGTTCTCCTCGTGTCTAAAACATTTAATAAATATAGTAATTGTAAATTTGGTGAGAGTAAATTTATCGCGTTAAAGCTAAGTTTAGGAACTGTAATTTATCTGTCTTGCATTTCATGTTTTTAAGTTTGCGGCTACGGGATAAGCAAGCAGGCCTAGAGCCACATTTAGAGTTAAAATTTGGTATCCAAATACACTAAAGACCAACATTCCTGGTTTGGTGCGGCGGCTCCACCACTTCCACATTCACCGTCTGATTTAAAGCCCTGAAGATTCGAACCATCTCCAGATTCGTCTTCAGCGGTACATCAAAGCCAGATAAGTACTAAAGTACAAATTGCGTTTAAAAAAAGTTAAGCTTACGTACCTGATAGTACTTCCAGGGATGTTCTTGTTTTGCTAGATATTCAGCACAGTCATACATTGATGTCAAAATTTCGTGTCCTCCCCAGCCGATTGACCTATTCGAAGTCTAAAAGGAAGCGACAATAAGCGAAAGAGAAGCTGAACCAACCACAACATGAATGTTGTCAAAACAAGAAGACAATCCGTGAATGGTCTCATTGAAAAGGGCATGTGAATCACGATCCACCACTATGCAATAGAGATTCTGTGGTTGGTAAAAAGCAGAGAACATAAAGAGAAACTAAAAAATTATTACATAAGGCCACCTGTCAAAAAAACCTGTGCTAAATTTTTGTAGATAATCATCCCGTAAGCAAGCGGAAAGTTGAGTTCTTCAACTGATGCAGCGTCCAGTGGAAAATGAAACCATTTCTTTATGTGTGAACATTTAAAAGTAAATCATTAAACTTCAATAAGATGTCTTCAACAAACCTCGCCTCTCCAGGAGATGTTGCGTAAATTGCCATTTCTCTGTCGACGTGGTCGTACTTCCACGAAGCCCATTTTGCCAAAGCCGGATTGTCCAGTTCGCTGATATTTACTAGATTCAAAAAAATGTATTATCTCTAGCAAAAGAATACCGCTGTTGATCGCGTCACAATCAATGGAGATTCGATCAAGTAGAAACGTTGATTGATTCCATGAGGCTCTAAAAATTGATCCATTAAACTGAAATTGAAAGAAAAATTGACAACTTCTCTCATAGAAAGTTTCTTTACTTAGGTTTTACGGTACTTTTTACTTTGTTCCCCCAAAAGTCAGAAATTTTCAAAAATTTGTCAATCATTCGGACAAAGAACATCCAGAACAAAGAATATTGTCGATCCAATCAAAGGAGCATGTACGAATACGATTGAAGGAATGTGGCAGAAGTTTAAAGCTCGACATAAAGAATATGCAGACTTTTCACTTCACTTTTCGCTTAAACATCTTGAATCACATGAATTCAACGATTCATGTGATTCAAGATGTCTAAGGACGACGATACCTTCTACAACTTTTGGATGCAAGCGAGATAAGATTATTCATTGGAATAAGTATATTATTGTGCTTCAAGATAATACCGTAAATACTGTAATTCAACGGCACCCCCTAATTGAACGCAGTCGCGTAGTCTAACTTCTTTTTAGAAAATCGTTTTTTCTCAGCTCCTAGATTTTTCTCAAATACACTTTTGGTATCAAAAAATAGTAGATTTCAAGGGCTATCATTTGACACCCAAGCGCATACTGTAGCATAAAGCAGCGTGGAGAACGGAGCGTGTAAAGCTAGACTACGCGGCAATACCCGTCGTTATGGGGCTGCCGTTCTATTAGAGTCTTTACGGTATTTTACGAGTATTCACAAAATTTGTAATCTAATTTCGTAAATTTGCATCTAAAGCAGTCAAAAATTTTGCCTGGTGTTTGGGGTGGGGGACAAAGTAAAAAAAGCACCGTTTTTACGTTAAACTAAGCAAAACATTGAGGCTTACATGAGAATGAGATGGCAGATAACACATGCGACGAGAAGAAACGCCGTAGAAAGCAGTAGCTTTGCCAATCGATGTAGTCGACCCTAAAATAAAGCTATTGAATAAAAAATGCAAGTTAGAAAAGAAAAAAGAAGCTTAAGAAAGCAGAAAAGTACCAACCATTCCGGGCGTTTCGAAAAATGATTTAATTTTTGGCAAAGTTGGTTTTATGTTGTTTTAGTTTTAAGTTTAAAAGTTTAAATTTTAAATGCAAATTTGCGTGAGTGCCATGTAAATCAAGGCAAAAAGAATAGACAAATTTGCAATTGCACAAAAACATTCATTCACGACGCGCAACATTCATTCATGCTTAAAATTTCGTCACTTCAATACTTTCTATTACTCTTCTACGCAAGCCTCACAGTAACACATCGAGTCGCGTATAATGGTGTCTTATTTCGTGAGTTTTAAGAAATTTTAGTGCTTTGGTGGTTGGGAGGGGCCACTTTTAGCTTGCCTTCTCAAATCTAGTGTTTTGAGCGGTTTGTGTCGATACTTTTCTTCTATTCCGGGGTAATTATCTATGCTAAAGCGATTGGTGCTAATTTTAGAGTATTTTCAACATGTTTCAAGTTAGTATTGCAGAGTTCTAAGTGTAGCTTTGAGCTTTGAGATAGCGTTCGGTGGTTCGGTGGCTAGAACACAGGGTAAATCATCGAATGGGATTATCAAAAGCATGCTTAAATTAGCACCAATCGCTTTAGCATATATTTCTTTCTTCAGAATGGAGGAAAAGTATCGACACGAACCGCTCAAAACATTAGATTCGATAAAGCAAGCCAAAAGTGACCCCTCGAACCGCCAAAATACCAAAGTTTTACTAGGTTTCTGCTCAACTTTTAACATTTAATAGACAATATTGCCTACAAATTGGTTCTGCGCCATTTGCGGAACTACTAAACGAAAGAAGCTGCCAGAATTGAACTCTAGAATCTAGAAGTAGAGCTAGAAGTAGAAGTAGAAGTAGAAGTAGAAGTAGAAGTAGAACTAGAACTAGAACTAGAGCTAGAAGTAGAACTAGAACTAGAACTAGAACTAGAACAAAATCTCTAATCTAAAGTCTAGATTAAAGATTTTGTTCTCTGTCTAACTAAGTTAAAGTTTGGCATTGTAAACTGAACTGATTTTCTATTAGAATGAAACTTAAGAAATAATCTCCCCATTCTTTAGAAACAATCTTTCGCAGTTTTTCATATTCAATCAAACTACTTTTTTTTAAAGTTATATTTTTCATTATTTTAATTTAGACGAGTCATCAGATGCGACGATTGTGAGCGACGAGTACATTTACGTGCCAATCGGGCACTCCGTTGAGCTTCCATGCGTGGCCCGAGAAAAGACTCACCAAATGCACATCGATTATAAAAAGGTGAAAGTTTGACTTATATGTTTAAATGCTTATTGTGTTGATATGTAAGAAAGACAGCTTATAAAAGAGTAAAAGCAGCAAAATCAATTATTAAAGCACATGTTTCTAGTTCTAATAAAGTTCAGGGAAGCACTTTGATCTGATTTGGTCAGAACCAATTTTACGCGTGTTTTTTCTAGTCTGCTTTTGCATTTTCTGTGGTAATCAAATACGCTTAATCCATTGGTGAAATTTTTAGAGTGTTTTGAATAGTTTTCACTTTGCATTTCATCCCTGGCCTCATTTTCTTGCCTTGCGGCACTGCAACATTTATACTTCAACTAGCTCAACAAAACATGAACAAAGATTATTCAAAACTTTCTAAAAATATCGCCAATAGATCCAGCATGCTTGATTACCCCGGAAAAAATAAAATAACATTGATAAAACTGTCGAAAAATACGATCTGATAAAATCAAATCAAAGTGCGCCTCGCCCCGAATTTTATTAGTACCCTTGTTTCTTAATAACTCCATACTTTGTGTATTCTTGGGTAAATATTTTATCTTACTATTCCTTTTTACAGGCCGACTGGCGATACTACACACGATATGGAAGAAAGATGACAAGCTCTTACGGGATACGCTACGATAAAAGGTGGTACTTTTGCAATTATTGCAACTAGTCGACTTTAGAATCGATCGCTTTCACTTCAATGACACAACCTCTTTCCTGTCGGCGCGTTTCCTCCAGGCCATTCATAACAACACAATGCTCGAGTGTTGGATACCTATCGGTTATCAAGAGGTTTGTTTGCTGGATTTCGTCGTAACACATAAAAATCTAATTATTTTTTATTCAGCCTGTCCGCTATGTTGTATCACGTTTCCGAATCATTATTCAAGATTGCGGTGTTGAAGACAATGTATTTCTTAATCTCATGAATCCGTAAGTTCTTTTTTTAATAGTTCATCGTTGGATTTAAACCCTAGTTGTGCTTTTTGGTAAGTGCTCTGTGCGAAATTTGACGAAGGGCCTTCATGATAATGTGCGGTTGCTCGAATGCCATTGTCTTCAACATTACACTGGAATATTTTGTCAACGTGAGTTACTGTTTTATTTCCAAATGGTTGGAATACTTTTTAAGAAGCAATACTTCATTACTTGGAATACTTCTATAACAATATAATTATGATATCTGTTTTTATCTAAATAAACAAGTGCTTTTAGAAGAAGTTGGAAACGCGTTTGCTTATCTGTTTGGCTGTTATTCCTACAATCTCATTTGGATCTTCACCTTCCTTGGATTTTTGGTTTCAAATCGTTTTCCGTAAGTCTTAAAAATCAATCGCTTTCTTTAATGCATCTTTAGAAAAACTCGCGTAGCTCTCAAAGGACATCCATTGCGAAAAACGGAGGACAACAACAAAAAATGTTATCGATGAAAAGAGAAGCAAAAGTTCTTGTTAAGTGTTTTATTTAATATTTATCGCACCATTTATTGAACCTAAGCAAAAGTTTAATGAATAAAGAGTAATCATAAAGAATCTTCATCCAGATTTCGAGCAGAAAGAGTGCGTGGTTCTAAGGGTGTAGGGCTAGGGTGATCGGCTTGTTCACTGAAATTGTTAGATTACTTGTTTCAAGAGATTTTTCCTTACCCAGGCATTTCAATGGGCTGGACCATAATATTTGGTGTCTCCGAACGAAAGATTTGATAGTCCTAACAATAAATAAGGTTTGAGAGTGTTTTTAGAAACTTACAGGAGCCAGCCCTTCATGTGGTGTACCATTAGCTTTTTCATCGGCCGAAATGCGTCTTGCAAAGCAAGTTTCCCGTTTGGACGTCTTCGCAAACTGAATTTTAGTATTAAAAGTCATTTTGATACAAATTTCGGTCAAGATACCAATTATTTAAAGTTATTTAATTTAATTTAAAGTTTATTCACCTGTCCATTCCCATTTTTCAATTGCCAAACTTCGGGCTTCGTTGCTGGCCGAATGTTGAAAATAGTCTCGAGGAAAGCCCGTCTAAATTCTTTTAGGTAACATCTTGAGTAGGTAGATATAATTTTCAGCAAAAAGTTACCGCAATCCAGCCGTAAATGATTTAAAGATAAGTTTATCTAATGCTCAAGTTCATAATAACATCATCATGATAGTAAAATCACTTATTGTACCACCTGTAAGATTTCAAGCAGCAAATCGTCGCCACCGCATCAATCGTGGGACTCCACGTGATCGCATAATGAACAATATTCATTGAAGACCAGTCGTATTCTAGATTACCGGTTATTCTTTATTATAATTCAAGAATAGGTTTTGTAAATGATTGATTTGTAAATGATTGTGGTTCAAGAACAGCCTTAGGTCAAACATTTTCTAAAAACTATCACAACTCGACTGTCTTTTTTCAATTAAATTTCAAATTCAAAAAGGCAATTGTGTTACGGTAGTTTTTTTTTCTTGACACACTTTTTAGAAAACGGTTTAAGTGACGGCAATCGATTAAGAACTCACCAAAATCCTCGACATTCGGACTGTCAACAACAGAGTCACCGAGAAAAGTGGAAGATATTGACAATGGGTGCAACTGACTGAAATTGTTTATTAGCCAGCAGAGCTACAGTAAACTAGGCTACGTATTCCCAAAGTTGACACTAATTTTACTTCTAACCTAGTGTTTAATCAAAGCCCCTTTTCACCTGTATGATAATAGCCACCAAAATGCTTCTTTGTCTCGAGATAACCTGCTGGGAAACCGAATTTCGAACACATTTTTGACTCGAGCGAACGAAAAGAAGAGCTTCACAACGCAGAACTGAAAACGGGGAATTTTTGTGTTTTATAGTTGTTTTTCGATTCTAATAACTCATTTCCGCTTGTGTCTGGGTTTAAAAGCATTTTTGACCTTTTTTTGCAATTGTTTTAAACCCGTTCTAGCCCAGCTTCGGGTTATCAGTTTTTGAAAGTTGACACGTTTTAGAAAACGCAGTTGAAGTTGAGGGGAGTTACTGTAGGTTTTGCAATGCTCAATCTCGTGCATGACGCTAGTTCTGTGGACAAACGAATCCCGGATTTTCATTAGTTTAACAGTAACAGCTGTAGTATTATAAAGATTCTCCTATTTACCAAAGTGATCGGATAGGAGATAATCGGATACAGAGAAGACTTATTGTCATCAATGTGTCCCCGTCTTTCACGAAATTCGCTCCCAACCAACAAATCGTTTCCACGTTTCGCTCATCCAAACTGAAATTCTGTTTTTACCACTTTTGGATGCTTTACGGTCGAGCGTTATCGGGCGGGAGTGGGCGAGGGATTTTTGACCATTTTGGCCAGATTTTAAAAGAGGTTTTATTTAATAACCTTTTGATGACAAATAGTTTTCTGAAAGCTGACGTTCTAAGCTATCCAAATCTTATTAACGCTTTTGATTTGATGAGTTTAAGGTGCGAAAAAGTAGGCTGCAAGTTGGGAGAAAAAAACTTGGCGATAATCGCACCTCCCCCACGATAATCGGTCTCGCTCTCTCTCCTCCTCCTCTTCCTCCTCCTCCTCCTCCTCCTCTTCCTCCTCCTCCCTCTTCCCACCTCTTCCTCCTCCCTCTTCCTCCTTCTCTTCCTCTTCCTCCTCCTCTTCCCTCTTCCTCCTCCTCCTCCTCCTCTTCCCTCTTCCTCCTCCTCCTCACTCTTTTCCTCCTCTTCTCCTCCCTCTTCCTCACCTTCCTCCTCTTCTTCCTCCCTCTTCCCCTCCCTCTTCGCTTCTCCTCTTCCTCCTCTTCCTTCTCCTCTTCCTCCTTGGCTTATCCTCCTCTTCCTCTTCCTCTCTCCTCTTCCTCTTTTCCTCCCTCCTCTCTGATAATCCCACTCTGACCCCCCTCCCTTAACCGTAAAGATCCAAATTTTGTTCAAAAACTCTTCCTACAATAAGACATCAAAAACTTCTCTGCCAATATTTTCCGAATCTTTCGAATCTTTCTATTTTTTCAAAACTTTTCTTAGATAATTACTTTACTAGTTATTTAAGCGCTTCTCTCTTCCCTTGCTTGGGCTGTGTAATTAAGAAAGAATGATTTTCGGAAGAATCCTCGTGGTAATGTGTGTAAGTGATGGGTGCTTTAGATGTAGTCTAAATCCTTGGTTTTGAGCCTTACAAAGAGCCAAATCGTTTATGATTTTGAAGTTTAACAAAGAAAAAGAATACAAATGTTGTGGAAAGAATATTCTTGAAAGCTTATGAGCATGCCATAATTGGGTCACTGAAAAGAATTCGGAATAGATTTCACCTAAAGAAATCTGTAGAAGATCTTTACGATCTTTACGAAATCTATTAGAAGTTATAAAAATTGCTCAATTTACAAAAACTGACATACTCAATTCTCTTTTAGGTTTTTGGTCCATTTAGGGTTTTTTTGTAGAGTTCGGCAACAAACCAGAACCAAACAGACCAAAACCAAAACCAAAACTCAATTTGCATATAAATTAACATGTAAATTTAAAATTGTAAATACAGAATTTTAATATAAATACAAATTTGCCTTTTCTATTTTTTCTCACTCCCACAAAATCGCGGCCGAAAAAAGGACAAAAACACGACCTCGAAATTTCCGAAACAAAAAAATAGCCTATAGGATAGATTTTTTTGGACGCTGATTTCAAATCTGCAAACAGATTTTCGCTAGCTCCTCCCAGTCGCCCGGATATTGGCGGGTTTTTGGTTAGTTTTTTGGTTTTTGGTTTGTTTTGGTTTTGGTTTTGGACTGTTTTTGGTTTTTGGTGGTTTTGGTTTTTGGTCAAGTTTTGTTTTTCCAAAAGTCTAGTTTTTAGTCCATTTAACGGTTTTCCGCATGGTCAGGCCTCGGTTTCTTCATAAATCTTTAAAGGCCAAAAAACGAAAGTCTTTATTTCTGAATAAGGATTCCGAAAATGTTTTTTTGGGTGTAAGTTGTTTGGGTTTAAGATTTGATATTTCAAAGATTTCCTCATTCAACTGACCGCCAGAAGATCCGAATAAACATCGTAGATGTCCCAAATCATTGTCATATCGATAGCTCGAGCAATGAAAACCAAAAAGTGGCACGAAATTCGGGATCAATTCTGGAAAGAGATAAGAGTTTGTTTCTCTCAAATAATGCATTAGAAAACGTGTAAACTTTCGGAAACTATCGTAATCTTGTCCTCTTTTATCAAGCCACGATATTTCTTCAGATAGAATGGAGTGAAAGTATCATCGCGTATACTCCTGCATGCAGCCCTTTTAAAATTTCTTTTTCTGCATAAAAGCTTTCAATGAAGTGCTGGCTGGCTGGCTGGCTGGAGAAAATGACTCAAAAATACCACATGAGCTAACTAGATTTTTTGAGCCATTTTCCCAGCTCTATAACACTTCATTGAAGCTACGAGAAAGAGGCATTTAAAAAAAGAAACTGCTACCCCGAGTACTCTTGATATTCTCTTACCTGAGACCACCGAAGGAAACTCTGATATTCACTTTTGTTTGATTTTTTTGATGGTTTACAAAGAGGATATTGAGCAAAAAGTGGATATAAATGTGAATAAAATAGAAAGATTACGAGTAGAAAGAGAAGGAGAGCGGTTTAGAAAGCAACAAGCAACAAAGCAACAGCCCGAGCTCAACAATTTATTTTCTTTTACCTATAATAATCCAAGCTTTTCCGGAGACTTTCGTTTCCTTTCAGCAAACATTGCACAAAACGATTCCCCGGCACGGCGATGCAAATCCGGAGTAAATTTGCGTGCGTTGCCGGAGTGTACAACGTGTTGAAAATGATCGAACAGGGGACTGAAATTTTTGATTTCCCCCCCCCCCAAGATTGTCCGTAAGCCGTCTAGTAAACCACTAAAAGCCGACACTTTAGAAGAAACAAAAGCTGTTTGCTAAAATGCGAAACTCATTTCTACTTTTACGGAATCCTCTACCAAGTACAGTAACACTACCTCTACCAACCAATGCCATCAATGGGTTAGCCGTCGTTGATCAATTAGTATTCATATTTTGAGCCATATTTGAGTACATGCGGCATGACGAGCAGGAGACCAATCAGAGGGATACAGAGATTTGAGACAGGCAGCAAAGAACACCCATTTGTACTCACCTCTAAACTCAGTAATTCACTTAGTAATACTTGGCTTTTTTTGGCATACTTTGATCAGTCACTTGTAAACGCATCCTTTCTGATGCACTGGATATTTTTTTCTACAGTATCAAACTGTTTTTAGTAAATTGGGAAGAAGATTGTGTGGGACATTTGAAACGCCATTAGCCAGCCCCGAGCTCGAATTTCTTGGTGTTGGGCTGTTTCAATTTAAATGGATTTTCAGCATCAATCGACAGAAAGACTTGGCGCATCTATTGATATCAAGAAGATTTAAATCAGAACGGCCCAGCACGACCCGGGGCCAATGACTAGATCGCTGATGGAAAAGGGGCGGAGCCCTCGTATCGAAATGTCCGATAGTCTTCGAGAAACGCCAGGGCCAAATTGAACTTTACGGTTCAAAAAGGAGTAGGCTTTGAACGAATTTTTTTAAACTAAATGACTAAAGAAGCTTTAAACTAAATAATAAAGCTTTAAACTAAAATAATAAAGCTTTAAACTAATAAAGCATAAAACTAATTTTTATTTTTCGCGCGACGTCGCATTCCAAATGAAACGTCGCCCGCCACCTTGCGGTAGTCGATGGGACGTCGCGTCGTCATTTCTTTTTCGTAAATCATTTTGCTTTCTTCGTCGTTTCTTTTTCGTTTTCAAATCATTATTTTTCTCAGATTAATTGAAAGTATTGTTTTACGCGATAGTTAATTTTGCGTTGAAATGAGAAAGCGTCTATTGGATTGGTCAATAAGTAATGAGTCACATGTAAGAGAAGGAAATCTTTCCCCCCGTAAAAAAAAGTTCAATTTAGCCAGATGATACGAATTTGTGAAATTGACAAGTTTTTTTGCAAGTACTTATTGATTGGATCAATAAGCACTCTATAAAGCCAGGTCCCTTGCATTTCGAGCACAAAATGCACACTCTTATAGTCCAGCGCCAGTCACAAACCTGGTGCTCGCCCTCAAACTGACTACCAAAATGAACCCGTTGAGGGGAAAAAAGTGAGAAATCAGACAAGTGACCGAGTAGCCAAATCGACGCCGAACATCCTCGAACATCAGGCCGAAGAAGTGAGCAATTGGCGGAACAAAGGTAAAGACTGTCAAATAGAATTTCGGCAAGGAGCATTTCATAAAAAGTTGAGAGGGAGTGAATAGGCCCCCGAAGATTCATTACGCTCAATCCACCGCCAATGGCGATACAGGAGATAGGCAGCGTTTTGTATCGCCAAAAGGTTATTTGCGAAAAGAGGGCTCACATCGAAATTAAAAACGGAAAAATTACTAGAAACGATCAAAGAAAGGGGAAAGGAGAGATTGGGGACTTTTGTGACTAGTTTTTTGAAAATCTTTCCACTTTGTTTTAACATTCTATCTACATCAAAAACGCTTTGAGTTGTGAGAAAACGGAGGGTAGACAAATCGTCTGCTCAAAAATTCCCTTGTTCGGAGAAAGTTTGTGCGTTTAGTAGTTTAAGTTTAACGGGAAAAATCATACAAAAGAATCATGACAAAAATTCATTTCGAAGATTTCTCATCACGCGAATGGAATCTTTCCCGTCAGATCGATCGCAAGGTAGATATTCGACTCTGTAGAATGGGCAGCTAAACAATAAAAATTTACTTAAGATGTATTCAATTTCAATGTTTTACTATTTTGCTACATAGCACGTTCATGCCAAAAGCAATTAACGCATTTGTGTAAAAATCTAATCTATTAAGATTTGGCAACTTGAAAGTTGGTACACTTTTTCGTATTTCCATAAAACATATTTAATCCGCCAGAGATTTAGTTAGACTTCTCCCCGCTCTTGCGTAGTTTCCGGGTACTTTGAAAGGATCCGGGCATTTTTAAACGACTCGTCACGCTTTGAAGGCCTATAATTTTGTCAGAGATAATATCTTTGTTAACTCTTTATATCATTGGACAAAGGACATTTCAGGCTTTCAAATGATACTAAATAGAGCTTGATTGGATCTCATCAAGTCGAAGAGGAAATCAGAGTAGCTCACAGGCCAATAAGACCTATCCAACTCAGGTGTCATTGTCGCCTAGTTTTGCATGGAAATAAAAATCCAATCAATCACCTCTATTTAGTATGATCTCTGGACAAAATTATGAAGCCTTCAAATCAGGACCACCCGTTCAAAATACCCGGAAACTACGCAAGAGACGACTTCTCTAAATAAAGAAAGTTATATATTATCTAATTTTAAGACATGCTTAAGCAAATTTGTTAACTTTTTTTAAGAGCAATTTGAGCCGAAATTCAGGTTTTTCACGAAAGATTCTTCAAATGGAACAATCCCAAAATGATTAGTTGGATCTTATTTGAGATTTTAAATATTTTATCTGTTTAGTGCTTATCTCTACTTGCTTGTGCTGACGCTCAAAATAGGTTTATGTGGAAGAAATTATAAAATCGCTTTATCAGTGTTCATCATTTTTAGTTCCTCAACTTCTTGCCCCCTAGAAACCTACAAAACCAACGCTTTTACAAATACATAAAAAGCCTGTTTTAGAGAATAAATGGGCCCTTTTATTGGTAAAAACTGTAGATTAGTTGATTTACTAGTTATTTCTAAAAGTGCAATGAATAGAAGTATACCAACTAAGATTGCCTAATAATAAGAATTGTACCTCATCGAGACGCTTGTACCGAAACTCTTTGAACAGCGTACTTTGAACGACAACTCAAACTTTTTCTCGATGCGCCTCATCACAAAAAGACGACACTAAATGATTCATCAAAAGCTAAATGCTTCAAATTGACAGCAACCGTTTAACCATAGGATCCCCCAATTGATCGACAATTTCTTTAATTGTGGTAGAAGGAATTCCTGGGATCTGAAATTAAAAGATAAGATTTGTCAACGAAAAGAGTAAAAATTTCCCCACCGCAATGTGCTTGATCTTCAGAAACTGTCTCGCGATTATGATCTACTGACGGCCAAGCGAATTTGAATCGAGAAGCGAGGAGTTCAGTCTATTAGTAAAAAGCAAACATTGCTAAAATGCCTTTCAAAACTATCGTACCTGCCGCTTTTCGGATCCGGTAAGCGAGATGACTTCTTGATAGCTCGTTTCGTGTTTTCCCGAATCCCCGTGCGCACGTCCGCTTCAATCTCTTGGCACGACAGCATTTTATTAAAGCTCATTAACTATGGATGCTAAAGGAAAATGTTAATACTTTTTAATGTTTTTAGCTTAAAGAAGTTGTTTAGCTGTTTAGTTTCAGCGTGCCTATAGCCAAACTTAAATCCTATTAATTGGCTAACAAAGTTTAAACAATATTACTTTTATATACGAGTGAAAAGCTGTCTTATACCAATTTACAAATTTTATCAACAATAGACTAAACTTTATAGATCTATAGCTTAAAAATAGCTTAAATTGGTTTTATAGCGGTTTTAATAGCTTGGTTTTTAATAGCTTGGTTTTCATAGCTTCAAAATAGCTTAAAAGGATAGATCTAAAGCTTAAAAATTGATTTTAACACAAGGCAATAATCACTCACAAGACGTTTCTTCGTTTGTTGCTGGGTGATCACGTATTCAGTGTAGAATTTCTTGCACAACTCGGACGGCAACCAGGTAAACGCACCGCGGTAGCAATCCCAATTCGAGCAGCCAGTTGAGCCTAAAATAAGCAAATCAATTTCCTAAAAAGTTCAATAGTAAGCCAAATATTTCGAAAACCTGACCATCGCTGTTAATGACAATTCCCGAGCACGCCTTGCACAAGTAATGATCGCAACGTCCGACATTCTAAAAACAAATAAAAAGAGTTGTTTACGAAAATTTACTATTAATTGAGAAGATTGATGAAAAAGTCCACAAGGCCCATCACATTTCACACCGTCTAAATAAAAGAGTCATTAAAGAAACACAATAAACACGTCACTTTCAACGCGAAGCATCGAATGAGTTGAAATCGTGGAAGTAGCCGACGAAATGGCATCGTCGAGACTGCCGGGTGAAAGAGCTAAATTGCACAATTGCAATTGCAACTATTAGAACTTTAGCTTGATTTAGCCAGGCTCAGGACAAACAGAGGCCAATAATTGATAGAGTTCTTAAAATTATGACAATCTTTAGGTTATAGAAGTAGGATAAAACAGCGTTTAATTTATCAAAGAAAGAAAAGCTTACCACTTTTCTGATTGTAGGGATCCGCTTGGGCTTTTTCTTCGTCGATCTTCTCCGTCCAGGTGAGCTCGTATTTAAAACGCGTTCTAAACAATGAAATATGCAAATGCAAAGCTTGTAAGTAAACTAGTTTTAAAAATTTACTTACAAGTTAGATTTCTCGTTGTAAGTGGCAGTGAGGGCGGCTTGAATGGGCGAGAAAACGAGCGTCCGAAGCACCGGTGGAACGTAAAGATTCGGCTGGTCGTTGTCTCGATTTGATCGCGATCGCCTAAAAATATTCATAATAGACATGTTTATCGGTCAAGTTAGTGCAAGATCGAAATATAAGCATAAGCAGAATATAAGCAGAACATTCTAGCAAAAAAAAATTCAAAAAGCAAAAAATTTTATTTTGCTTCAATATGATCAGAAACGTAATCAGTAGGTTAAATTATGCCAGAAAAAGTGTTTTTGGTTTTAAAAATGTTTTGAGAGGTCATTTTTAGACCACTTCTCTGTGTATTCCTCTCATCACACTGTATGAGCGCGCACTTTGAAGCCCCGAAACTCGGCTTAAAACGCCTTTTCCCAAGTTTTCGTTGTGTTGTTCGGAATCTACGCATAAAACTACCCAAGAAAAGTGGTTTTGAAAAAGAAAAAGTGCCCCTGCCCCTAATCTTAATAGCGACTAGAAGGGTAATTTTCAACGCGTCGAAATGTGTTTTTCAGTTGAAAGCCTAGGCTAAAACTGTCAAATTCGTACTCAGCATCCTCGATTACCCCTAGAAAAGTGAAAAAGTGAGAAATATAGGTGCCTCCACAACCCACAAAGTACCAGTTGACTCGTTTACGGTCTCATTTTGAGTTCCTCTTTCTGTATGACGTCATAGTGAATTACACTATAGGTACTAAATAATATTAAGGCTAAAAACTCAAAAAACTATGGGCAACCTACTTTAAAAAACACTCTTATCATGATTAACGCGATCGATTAGCCTAGAAAAATTGAAAAAGACGGAAAAAATGTCGTAGCCGATCGACTACGACATATATTAATTGGTTACGACATTGTATACAGGGTGCGCCAAAAGTTCCCGAACTTGTATTTTCTGTATTTTTGGTAATTTTAGATAAAAGATACGATTTTAAAAGTAAGAAATTCAATTCCTCGCGAAAAACTGATTTAAAAAACGTTCCTGGTTAATTTATAAGTGCAACACTATTTAAGACAAGCGTGATTGAGAAGAGGGTCCGCTCAGGGGCGCTTTGGTCGCACAGTTACAGGGCGCAGCTTACAGGGCGCACTTACAGGGCGCATACTCAGGGCGCACTTACGTGGAGCGCACTTACAGGGCGCACTTACTACGCCCTGTAACTACGCCCTGTAACTGCGCCCTGTAACTACGCCCTGTAACTGCGCCCTGTAAACTACGCCCTGTAACTGCGCCCTGTAACTGCGCCCTGTAACTTAAATAGTGTTGCACTTTTAAATTAACCAGAAACGTTTTTTAAATCAGTTTTTCGCGAGGAATTGAATCTCTTACTTTTAAAATCGTATCTTTATCTAAAATTACCAAAAATGCAGAAAAATACAAGTACGGGAACTTTTGGCGCACCCTGTCGATGGCTCCTCCCAACCACCAATGTACCAATAGCAGTTTGCTGTTTTCGTATAAACACCAAAAGCCAAACTTACACTTTGTCGTCAAGAGCCGTGAAGGTGCGATCGATATTCCATATTTCATACATTAACATTAAAACTCCCAAACCACAGATTTTATAGCCAAAAATACCTTTCGATAATACAGTGTGGTGCAAAAAAATGGGCCAAGGTAGAAAAAGTATTGTTTCTATTTTCTTTTGTGCTTTTCCTTCAGATATATCCTATTGATTCTTTATTTTAGATGTCTCCGCGCAAGCATCTATCTACTCCCTGATAAGGTGAAGATAGTGGAAGCGATGAACAATGGAGGAAACAGCCGAGCTATCGGAATTCTCTTTGGATGCGGAAAAGCAATGTGAATCGTCTTGTAGCAAAAGCAAAAGCCGGTGGAAATCTTCACAGAACTCCAGGAAATGGCCGGCAACCAATCACAACTCCAGAATGAAGATCGATGGATCATCAGGGACCATCGAAAAGACTCAAATCTGACATCGAGCCATGCGAGTCAAGAAGCTGAAGCGCCGTTTCAAACAAAGATATTTCAAATAACTCTTGCCGAGGACTGGCCCAATTTTTTTGCACCACACTGTATTTAAATGAATAAAATTTAAGCGCAACTTCTAGAGGCAAGAAAATGGTCAACAAGTTAGCGCAAAATGCGCAAGTTAGCAAGCGCAAATTTTAAACATTAAAAAACTCACGTGTCCATGATTTGTGAAAAAAATTCGAATTCTGAACAGCCAACGAAGTCGAAGAATGGAAAGAATTGTAAAAGATGACATTTTCTCGTCAATTATTTTCGTTAAGTATCACCGTTAAATGCAAAATTTTTATGAAATGTTAACCAGGCTGAAATGGTCATTATCTGTTAAACGCAAATCGAAAAACAGAAATTTCCCTTTCGCGCGTGTTCTTTGTTATCAAAATACTAAACGCGTCCTTTCTGGCGGCACTCAACTCTTTGAATAAGTCGATAAAGTACAGAGGAAACGTTGAAACGATAGTGAAAATGAAAATTGATGGTATTTGTTGCTTTCCTGTCTTCTTGATGCTTTATTATAATGGGTGAAAAGGTCCGCAAATGCCCCGGATGCGCAAATGCCTCGAAGCGCAAATGCCCCGGATGCAGCAAATGCCTCGGAAGCGCAAATGCCTCGGATGCGTAAATGCCTCGGAAGCGCAAATGCCTCGGGTGCGCAAAAAGTCTCGTTTGTCCCACTTTCAGAAATTTATTTTTTGCTAAAGAAATTCTGTTGCGTTTCGTGATTTCCTCAAATCAGACGAGGTTGAAATTTTTGATTTTTTGGAACTTTTGTAGTGTGAAAAGGAAAATTTGACGTTAAAATATAGTTTTTCAATGTTTCTCTTGAGTCTACTTTAGTTTTTGTGTTTGTTTTCGTAGAAATCGTCTGACATTTCGAAACTCCGAATTTTTGTTTTAGTGTTTGCGTAACGGGACAACACAGAAATAGAAGTTGAGAGTCAGACAAGAAAATCGAAAACAAAGGCAGCTTTTGTGAATTTCTGAGGATTCAGTTAGTTACTGTAAAGCAGATAGACTCCAATTATTTACTTGTTTTGGAAGTTTTACTTTTCGAATCGTTTCTGGTGGAGCTTGGGTGCACGTTTCTGGTGCACCAAATCCGAAATTGTTAGCCACGCCTGGGACGCAGGCAAGCTCCGAATTTCCCACGCAGGTCACTAAGTGAACGATGTCCAGGCCACTGAGTGAATCATTGCCCGAGGTCACTCAAGAGAACCATGTCCAGGTCACTAAGAGAACCATATCCAGGTCACTAAGTGAATTATGGTCATGGGTCATGGGTCAAGGGAAAGGCAACAGTAGGATGTGGCCAAATGAGATAAGCCATAGATTGTTCGAGGTGCAGAAGGTGGACAACCTTTTCTTCAGATTTTGTCCGTTTTCTTTATTTTTGATCTCATTCGATTCAGTTTGATTGCTTGTCGAATGGGACCAAAATTAAGGAATCGATCAAAAGAGGATTGCGGATCTGAAAAAAAGATTGTGATAGTTTTCAGAATGATACATCTTTTAGGACAAAACTCTATTGCGGTCTGGGCATGGTTCACTTAGTGACCTGGGAAAATCGGAGCTTGCCTTGTCCCAGGCGTGGCTTTGCAATTTTGGATTTATTGCCACTATTGTCAGAGTGTCTACTGTAGTTTTCTATTTCTATTGGGCATGCATAAAGGAATGTTTTCCACTAGAAAAGAGACGAAAAAAAAATTGTAGTTGTCCTTTATGCAGCGAATCTCTATCGAAAGAAGAGGGTGACTTCTATGAATCAAAACTTTCGACATATTGTTTTTATAGTTTAAATGTTATAGAAAACGTTAGAAAAGGTTAGAAAATGTTAGAAAACCTTTAAAAAAATGAGATAGTTTTATTAGTTTTATTAGTTCTATTATTTCTATTAGAAAAAAAAAGAATTGTAAACTTTTGAAATGCTTCTAAAAGTCTGTCTCTCTTTTTGTTTTATTTATGAGTCTACGAGGAGGCTATTTTCATTGTTTTTAAAAGATCCAAAAGCAATTCACTATAGTATAATATAGCTTTATTGCTGTTTATTATTCTAGAGAAATTTTTGGTGCTATCTTGTCTTGAATCTTTTACCAGACTTATAGTAATCGACAGCTTGCCAGGCTTGACAGCTTGCCAGGCTTGACAGCTTGCCAGGCTTGACAACTTGACAGCAGCTCGACAGCTTGACAGCAGCTCGACAGCTTGACAGCAGCTCGACAGCTTGACAGGCTTGACAACTTGACAGCAGCTCGACAGCTTTGACAGGCGCGACAACCTGACAGCAGCTCGACAGCGCTCGACAGGCTTGACAACTTGACAGCAGCTCGACAGCTTGACAGCAGCTCGACAGCTTGACAGGCGGCGGCTTGACAGCAGCTTGACAGGCAGCTCGACAGGCTTGACAGCAGCGCCGACAGCTCTGACCAGGCTTGACAACTTGAGCAGCAGCTCGACAGCTTGACAGGCTTGACAA